AGTAAGCTTCTGAAGGCCTTGTCTTTTTTATTTAAGAACGAATTTAAGAAATTGCATTCTAAGTGAAAGTAAATAAGATGTTTGCTGCAACTTCTCTATGCGTGTGGGTATTGATGAATAACTTAAGCACCTCAGTGACATTATCCACTTTATCACTTTATCAACGTCACTTGACATCATCAGGTTATATCAATAACTCATCAGGATTTACTAAGGTTGGCGACGCTTATTTTTATTTGAGACGAACTGGATATTAATTCCGTACAAGATTCTAAGACATTTGTGGAAAAAAAAGCATTTTTTTTAATAGAAAATTGTTCTCTCTGAATAGTTTCATTAGCGATAAATTTCATAAAAGCTGTATAAAATTGATACGATTTTGATATCGGTTTAATGAAAAATATTAACTTCCATAATTTGTATATACCTTACACCTGTATATACCTAACACCTGTATATACCTAACACCTGTATATACTTAACACCTGTATATACCTAACATTTGTATATACCTAACACCTGTATATACCTAACATTTGTATATACCTAACACCTGTATATACCTTACACCTGTATATACCTAACACCTGTATATACCTAACACCTGTATATACCTAACACCTGTATATACCTAACACCTGTATATACTTAACACCTGTATATACCTAACATTTGTATATACCTAACACCTGTATATACCTTACACCTGTATATACCTAACACCTGTATATACCTAACATTTGTATATACCTAACACCTGTATATACCTTACACCTGTATATACCTAACACCTGTATATACCTAACAACCTATTTATACCTAACATTTGTATATACCTAACACCTGTATATACCTAACACCTGTATATACCTAACATTTGTATATACCTAACACCTGTATATACCTAACACCTGTATATACCTAACACCTGTATATACATTACGCCTGTATATACCTAACACCTGTATATACATTACGCCTGTATATACCTAACACCTACATATACCTAACATTTGTTTATACCTAACATTTGTATATACCTTACACCCCTATATGCCTAACACGTGTATATACATTACGCCTGTATATACCTAACACCTGTATATACCTAACACCTGTATATACCTAACACCTGTATATACCTAACACCTGTATATACCTAACACCTGTATATACCTAACATATACCTTATATATATACCTAACATGTATATACCTATATACCTAACACCTGTATATACCTAACATACCTGTATATACCTAACTAACATTTGTATATACCTAACACCTATATATACCTAACACCTGTATATACCTAACATCTGTATATACCTAACACCTGTATATACCTAACACCTGTATATACCTAACATTTGTATATACCTAACACCTGTATATACCTAACATTTGTATATACCTAACACCTGTATATACCTAATATTTGTATATACCTAACATCTGTATATACCTAACACCTGTATATACCTAACACCTGTATATACCTAACACCTGTACATACCTAACATTTGTATATACCTTACACCCCTATATGCCTAACACCTGTATATACATTACGCCTATATATACCTAACACCTGTATATACCTAACACCTGTATATACCTAACATTTGTATATACCTTACACCCCTATATACCTAACACCTGTATATACCTAACACCTACATATACCTAACACCTGTATATACCTAACATTTGTATATACCTTACACCCCTATATATACCTACACCTATATACAACACCTGTATATACCTAACACCTGTATATACCTAACACCTGTATATACCTAACACCTGTATATACCTAACACCTGTATATACCTAACACCTGTATATACCTAACATTTGTATATACCTAACACCTGTATATACCTTACACCTGTATATACCTAACACCTGTATATACCTAACACCTGTATATACCTAACACCTGTATATACCTAACACCTGTATATACCTAACACATACTAACACCTGTAGATACCTAACATTTGTATATACCTAACACCTGTATATACCTTAAACCTGTATGTACCTAACATCTGTATATATTTAACACCTGTATATACCTAACATTTGTATATACCTTACACCTGTATATACCTAACACCTGTATATACCTAACACCTGTATATACCTAACACCTGTATATACCTAACACCTGTATATACCTAACACCTGTATATACCTAACACCTGTATATACCTAATATTTGTATATACCTAACATCTGTATATACCTAACACCTGTATATACCTAACACCTGTATATACCTAACATTTGTATATACCTTACACCCCTATATGCCTAACACCTGTATATACATTACGCCTGTATATACCTAACACCTGTATATACCTAACACCTGTATATACCTAACACCTGTATATACCTAACACCTACATATACCTAACACCTGTATATACCTAACATTTTTATATACCTTACACCCCTATATGCCTAACACCTGTATATACATTATGCCTGTATATACCTAACACCTGTATATACCTAACACCTGTATATACCTAACACCTGTATATACCTAATATTTGTATATACCTAACATCTGCTGTATATACCTAACACCTGTATATACCTAACACCTGTATATACCTAACACCTACATATACCTAACACCTGTATATACCTAACACCTGTATATACCTAACACCTGTATATACCTAACACCTGTATATACCTAACACCTGTATATACCTAATATTTGTATATACCTAACATCTGTATATACCTAACACCTGTATATACCTAACACCTGTATATACCTAACACCTGTATATACCTAACACCTGTATATACCTAACATTTGTATACCTGTACATACCTGTATATACCTATACAACACCTGTATATACCTAACATTATGTATATACCTAACACCTGTATATACCTAACACCTGTATATACCTAACATTTGTACATACCTAACACCTGTATATACCTTACACCTGTATATACCTAACACCTGTATATACCTAACACCTGTATATACCTAACACCTGTATATACCTAGGCGTATATACCTAACACCTGTATATACCTAACACCTGTATATACCTAACATTTGTATATACCTAACACCTGTATATACCTAATATTTGTATATACCTTACACCCCTATATGCCTAACACCTGTATATACATTACGCCTGTATATACCTAACACCTGTATATACCTAACACCTGTATATACCTAACACCTGTATATACCTAACACCTGTATATACCTAACACCTACATATACCTAACACCTGTATATACCTAACATTTGTACATACCTAACACCTGTATATACCTTACACCTGTATATACCTAACACCTGTATATACCTAACACCTGTATATACCTAACAACCTATTTATACCTAACATTTGTATATACCTAACACCTGTATATACCTAACACCTGTATATACCTAACATTTGTATATACCTAACATCTGTATATACCTAACACCTGTATATACCTAACATATGTATATACCTAACACCTGTATATACCTAACACCTGTATATACCTAACACCTGTATATACCTAACACCTGTATATACCTAACACCTGTATATACCTAACACCTGTATATACCTAACACCTGTATATACCTAACATCTGTATATACCTAACACCTGTATATACCTAACACCTGTATATACCTAACACCTACATATACCTAACACCTGTATATACCTAACATTTGTATATACCTTACACCCCTATATGCCTAACACCTGTATATACATTACGCCTGTATATACCTAACACCTGTATATACCTAACACCTGTATATACCTAACATTTGCATATACCTAACACCTGTATATACCTTACACCTGTATATACCTAACACCTGTATATACCTAACATTTGTACATACCTAACACCTGTATATACCTAACACCTGTATATACCTAACACCTGTATATACCTAACACCTGTATATACCTAACACCTGTATATACCTAACACCTGTATATACCTAACAACCTATTTATACCTAACATTTGTATATACTAACAGTTGTATATACCTAACATTTGTAGATACCTAACATTTGTATATACCTAACACCTGTATATACCTTAAACCTGTATATACCTAACACCTGTATATACATTACGCCTGTATATACCTAACACCTACATATACCTAACATTTGTTTATACCTAACACTTATATAAACCAAACATTTGTATATACCAAACACCTCTATATACCTCACACCTGTATGTACCTCACACCTGTATATATCTTACACCTGTATATACCTAAAACCTATATATAACTAACACCTGTATATACCTAACACCTGTATATACCTAACACCTGTATATACCTAACACCTGTATATACCTAACACCTGTATATACCTAACATTTGTATATACCTAACACCTGTATATACCTTACACCTGTATATACCTAACACCTGTATATACCTAACATTTGTATATACCTAACACCTGTATATACCTAACACCTGTATATACCTAACACCTGTATATACCTAACACCTGTATATACCTTACACCTGTATATACCTAACACCTGTATATACCTAACACCTGTATATACCTAACAACCTATTTATACCTAACATTTGTATATACCTAACACCTGTATATACCTAACAACCTATTTATACCTAACATTTGTATATACCTAACACCTGTATATACCTAACACCTGTATATATACTAACATATATGTATATACCTAATACAACATATATGTATATACCTACCTAACACCTGTATATACCTATTTGTATATACCTAACACCTGTATATACCTAACACCTGTATATACCTAACCAGTTGTTATCTTTTATTAAACGCAATTTTACAGACAATAGGATACAAGATAACCTGTAAACAACAAGAAAATGCCAACATGTCAACATGATCATAATACAAACTTAACGTCAATAAAGCTAAGGCAACACCTGAACAAAAGAAAAACTCACAAGAACCCCTGAATAAGCACAATGAGAATAAGACCACGTGACCCGGAAGAGCAAACGTCATTTGCTTGATTGACGACATCCGATCCCCCATGTATACATTGGTCCATCCAATTAAGTAGTGTGACGTTCTCTGATAAGATCTAGGTATAAAAAACGGAACTATCTGGCAAACGGAAAGTAATTTTAAAAGCGAAACTTGCACCAAAATTCCTATGGAAATTATTATTTTGACGAGAAAAAGAACTAGAACCGCGAAGATCAGATCCGTGAAACGAACAACAATTGAAGTATTCTATGGACGTAAGGACGAAAAAAAAAGTAAGATATTATTTGTAGTTGGATATTCAGATTAAGCTTAAACGTTTGTTCTTACTTTGTAATACTTTTCCACTTTGGCAACACCTCTGAGTTCCCTTGCTAATTCAAATGCTGTCAAGATGGGGTCTTTACTGGAAAGTGAAATATATGCACTGCTTGCTAGACCCCGGTAGGCATTGAGCCTCGTTTTTGCTAGTCGCCATTGATCAAATTGAAGTTTGTTACTGCACTCTTGGCAATTGCAGTAATAATGATGAGGCTTATTTATGTTCTCTCCGCGGAGTAAAAGCAACTGTATGATTTCGAACTGATTTCTTTCCGCTGCAAGTATCAATGGTGTTATGTCAGCAGAAAATGGTGAATCCTCATTGGTAGTGTTAAAAAAATAATCTGTTTCACCAAAGCGCTTGTTATCCCTTTTAACATCTCTGTACTTCGGATGCTTAAGAATGGTCTCTGCGATCTGTTCGTGGCCAGCGCTGATGGCTTGCAGAAGTGCTTCGTGGATGTTAGCCAGATTTGACCGATCCAAAAGTAGCTCGACGACCTTGGAAAGAAACAAAATAACATTATCACTTGATTGACATGGTATTTATTTACTGGTATCCTCTTCATCGCAGCCAAGTGTAAACAGATAAGGACGCAATCGATGTCAGAAATATTGAATTACTAACGAGAAAACACATTTCCATTTGCAAAGATTGGAAAATACCCAACCACAATACTAATGAAATCACATGAATTTGACAGAGAAAGTAGATGAATGTTTACAGGGATAATGTACAGAAAGTTGTGTATGTAGGCACGTCTTATCTTTTCACGATCATTCGTTTCTTCTGCAACTTCATCAAAAAAAAAAATAAAAAATATGAATTTAAACAAATTATATCAGACACAAGCATGTGGTCCATTTATCCGTCTCTACACCTGTAAAGAGTTTTAATTCCTGCTTTTGAAGAAGTGATGAGACAGTTGCGGCGTAACATAAGACAGTTGCGGTGTAACATAAGACAGTTTCGGTGTAACACAAGACAGTTGCGGTGTAACATAAGACAGTTGCGATGTTGCATAAGACAACTGCTTTGTAACATAAGACAGCTGCGGTGTAACATAAGACAGTTGCGGTGTAACATAAGACAGCTGCGGTGTAACATGACCTTTACATTATAAGTAGAATGTTGTAACATTACTGACGATTGGGAAATTACTAGGGTAAGACGTGAGAACTGGAAAGGTAAAAAATGGTGATATCAATAATTTTTTTGTAAATCAAATAGAAAAAATCGGACAAAGACATAACTACTAGTGATATCCAGTGAAACGAACCTCCAGATGTTCATTGCCTACAGCCAGACGCAAAGGTGTCCTTCCTATGATGTCACTGTAGTCTACATTAAAGGTAAGGTTCTCCTCTAGAATCCTCTTGACAGACGGAATATCTCCAAACTCAGCAGCGTAGATAAACTCTTCTTCTACCGAGGATAACTGTTGGCAATTAAACAAGCAATAAATCAATGACGTCATCGTACGGGATGATAGAATCACTGTGCACCTAACAAAACAGAGGCTGAAGTTTGTTATTTAAAATTATTTCGACAAAAACCTGGTTTGGTTAAATGTCAGTTGAGAAGTTGTCAATACATCAGGAAACAGAAATTCATTTACTTCATGAATCTTAGCAGTATATCCGTTTTTATTTTGGTAATATTGTACGAAATAATTCACTGTGATAAGTGCTTTATTTGCATTTAGTTTTCATTAAGATAACATTTCATAAAATGAGCCCTACATTTTTTTTGTTACGTTTAGCGAGAATTGTTAATTATAAATGAAAACCTCGAGGCAAATTTCATAAAATATATTTTTCATCACATAACCCAGAAAAAATACGTAATTAAAAGTTTTAAAGTGAACAGAAGAGAACAGAAGAGAATAACATGAAATATTATGGCTTTTTCAATTCATAACGTAACATCATTATCCAAATCAGGACATCACAGTAAATATCTATGTCACAGCAAATGAAAAATACGTCCACGGTATGTTACACTATTGACATTTGTGCTAAAATGTTACATTGACGATTTTACAGGATAACAGGAGGATTGGGCGATAACATTGTTATACTTATTCAAATGCTGTACACTCGGATATTAGAATTCAGTTTGTTTGATTTTCAAGAAAACCATGTTTTTCTTATAGTTATCAGTATTTTGTACCTGTACATAGCGTCGTCCAGCTGAGATAGTATTACGATAAAAAAAATCAAGAAAATAACAACATGTCAACATAATCAAAATCCAAATAAATTTTCAATAAAATTGCGACAAACTATGAAGAAATATTTACACGGAGACAATTGAATTAGTAGTACAGGGAGAATAAGACCAGGTTTCCCGGAAGAGTAAGCTTCTTCGACTACACCTGCCCTGTAAACTTTTATCAATCCAAGTAAGCAATGTCATATTTTAAAATAAGAACACGGTATACAACAACGCAACCAACGAGCTGACGGGATTCGCACAGAGAGATATACGATGTTAGTTCCTGTGTGCGTTACATTGAAATACAGTAATTCTTGATACATATGGGGAAGTTGTTCATATGAACCATGATCATGTAGATACTATGATCTTCATATAACATAGTTATTTCAAGAGATAAACCTGTAGTATTGAATGAGCTTAATAAAGATACGACGAATCATGTCGTTTCGATAGTATTTGTATAAGACGTAACTGCAAACGAGAGTTGATAATAGCCTTCAAAGAGTGTTTGCATTTCATAATTATACAGAACAAAAGGGGCCTCTTGACCTTCGCGTTTTATTAAATTACGAGGGTTATGGTATAACTAGAAGATAATCAATGTGGTTGCTCATAATACACTAGGACAACAAAAGTTTGACCTAAATAACAAAGGGAAATACAAACAATGCCAATATATATGTATTACCAAAACTTATAGCCAACAAAGAGAAGAAACGCAATTAATAGCCTTTGATATTTTTTGGGGAATTTGTAAGAAAAAAATATGTCAATGTGAAGGGACAAATTTACTGTAGAAAAACAAATGTGTGACGTCATTCGTGTCGTCAGAAGTTACTCAAAGTGGGATACCCGCGAAAAACAAAATGACACTTGAACACCTGGTGTGGGCACCTCTCGCACGAACCCCTGCACGGATTCTCCTATGTATTGAATTCATGAGAACACTAATTCGCCTCTAGGGAAACTTCTTCCATTTCTAAGCTAATACTGCGATCAACTGGGCGGTTAGTTTGGGGTTTTGAGTTTCCTTATTGTTTATTGATAGTTTATTGAGAATTCACTGTGAGCCTTCATAAGTACAACAATAACAATGCAATGAAAGAGCACATTGTACAAAACAAGAAAAGCATATCCCATCAAACTAAATACATACGTACAGGTATGATGTGAAGTTCATGGTTACAGTACAATGCAAAAATATTATTCCAAGGCTGGCGGACTTACATGAGAAATAAGCGAAACATATGCAATATTACAGAATCGTAGATAATATAATTCTTCACTATATATTTTCTCTCTGTAAATATGAGCTTGATGCTGGACTGAACATTCTGGATTTTAACAGGAGGTTGCCGGCAATAGATTCTAATATTAACACATTGACTTTGATCAAATCAATGATACTATGAGTGAGATGAACGTAAAGCTAAACAAGAGTGTAAATATTTACCTGAATTACATAATTCCTTTCTATTAGTAGCTGATAGTAGTGGCACAAGTTAAAAAGAAGATGGGCGGTTCCAGTAGTATTTTTTTAATAAACTTTTTGCGTAAATTTAAATATAAATTGCAAATCAATATAAAATAGAATTCATCTTCAACCAAATTTTGATTACAGTAAACACAAAGTCCTCTTTCTCTAGGAATGTTGTAATATAGTCCTTCTTCTACACGCAACTGATGAGAAGATAAGCGAAATTTAGATATAAGACCAAGATAAGCATCTGGAATAGATTTCGTCAAATAATGTTGTAAAGTGCAAGAAACTATCAAGAATTTGTACAAATAACATATTGAGGAGTTTTCAATAAATTCATTACGCGACTGAAGAAAGCTATCAATAAGCCGTTGTTTAAAAAGATGTAAAAAATAATTTCTCATTATTAACATAATGAATTGACCAGAATTCCTAAACCAGTTCTCAACAGTAATTTTTTCAACCTGGCAACGCCAGTTACATTGTATATGATTACAATAAACCATGTCATCACACGCTGATTGTAATATACAATTATTGGTCTTAATTAATTTTAACCAGTACTTAATTATGCGACACTTCCAAGTGATATTCAGTGGTAAACGACCAAGTTCAGAATATAACATATAGGAAGGTGTACATGTTTTAAAATTCAAGATTTTTTTCAGAAAATCAGTATGTATTCTTTCTATTTGATCAGCAGATGAGAAACCCTAGACTTCGCAGTTATAATTTAAAACAGAAGCTACATAAGTGTCAAATACATTAAACTTGGTTCCCGTATTTAAATTAAGATTATTACATATTTTTAAAATATCAAACATACATTTACGGCCTTGGTCAGCAATAATAAGCTGACTTTTAGCAAATCTACCATTAAAATTCAATGTAACACCAAGATAGCTAAAGCTATCCACATTTTCAAATTCATTGTTTTCAAAGAAAATTGGTCATCTGCACAAGCTCTACCTGCATTTATAAAGATGACAATTTCAGTTATTTCAGTGGTAACTGACAGCTGCAGAAACTTTTGTGCAGAAAGTATTTCCGGTGTCGTAAGTGATAAATAAAAGATCACAGCAATCAACAACGTTAGTAAACACAGCCTCGTTTTCAGAAGACACTTATGCGGTAACTCTATCAACCTTAAGAAGACACGACTGACAACCCCTAGTGATGATAATGACACGACAGACAACCCCTAGTGATGATGATGACACGACCGACAACCCCTAGTGATGATGATGACACGACAGGCAACCCCTAGGGATGATGATGATATGACTGGCAGCTCCTAGCGATGATGATGATACAATTGACAACACCTAGTAATGATGATGGCACGACTGACAACCCCTAGTGATGATGATGAGACGACTGACAACTCCTAGTGATGATGATGACAAGACTGAAAACCCCTTGTGATGATGAAAACAGGATTGACCGCCCCTAGTGATGATGATGACACGACTGACGGCTCCTAGTGGTGATGATGACGCGACTGACAACCCCTGGTAATGATGAAAACACGATTGACAACCCCGAGTGATGATGATGACACGACCGACAACCCCTAGCGGTGATGATGACAAGACTGAAAACCCCTTGTGATGATGAAAACAGGATGATGATGGTGATGATGATGATGATGATGATAATGATGATGATGATGATGATGATGATGATGATGATGATGATGATGATGATGATGATGATGACACGACTAACAACCCCTAGTGATGATGTAGACACGACACACAACCCCTAGTGATGATGATGACACGACTAATAACCTTTATCGATGACTATGACACGACCGATAACCCCTAGTGATGATGATGACACGACAGGCAACCCCTAGTGATGATGATGACACGACTGACAACCCCTAGTGATGATGATGACTTGACAAACAACCCCATCTGATGAATGACACGATAACCCTAGTGATGATGATAATGACACAACCCCTAGTGATGATGACAAAACTGTCAGCCCTCATCGATGACAATGAAAAGACTGACATCCCCTAGTGATGATGATGACACGCCTAACAACCCTTATCGACGACTATGACATGACTAACAACATAAGTGATGACACATAATGACACCCCTGGTGATGATTATGATGACAACCCTTACTGACTTACAACCCCTAGTAATGATGATGACACGACTGACAATGACCTGTCAACCCCTGTGATGATAATGACACGACGACGGAGAAACCCTTAGTGATGACTTTGTCACAACTCTCAACCCCTAGTGATGACCTTGTGACGACTGTCAACCCCTAGTGATGACGATGACACGACTGACAACCCCTAGTGATGATGATGACACGACTGACAACCCATAGTGATGAAGGTGACACGACTGACCACCCCTAGTGATGCTGATGACACGACTGACAACCCCTAGTGATGATGATGACATGACTGACAACCCACAGTGATGATGATGACACGACTAACAACCCCTTGTGATGATGTAGACACGACAGACAAGCCCTAGTGATGATGATAACACGACTGACAACCTTTAGGGATGATGATGATATGACTGGCAGCTCCTAACGATGATGATGACAAAATTGACAACACCTTGTAATGATGATAGCACGACTGAAAACCCTTTGTGATGATGATGATGATGATGATGATGATGATGATGATGATGATGATGATGATGATGATGATAATGATGATGATGACACGACCGACAACCCCTAGTTGT